GAAATCCACCAGAGAGGCCTCCTCCGTCTGAGACCTCTACTCAGACTTTCAATGACTTAATTCTGCAAAGCTAGAAGTGATGATTTTCCCTAACTAGGGACTGCAGCCAGCCCGGGGTCAGAGGTCCTGGTGGCCCGGTGAACAGGAAGAGCTTCCCATGGCATCCAGGTCGCTGTGATGAATCTCATCATTCATCCCCCAAAACCCCCCGGAAGGTTTTCAGCAGAACTTCCTGAATATCTTTCCGCTCCTTTCCTGAGCTGTTGTTTATGGAGATTTTAATCTTTTAATGTCCACGCTGATGAGCAGAGTCTGACTTTTAAACGGCGCGAGTGCAGACAAACAACAGCGTGGTCACACTCTGGACCTGGTTTTTGCCCGGGGTGTAAACACATCCTCTGTGGAATGACTGGGTCTGACCACAGAACGGTGAATCACCGGTTCCTCACGCTTCCTCTCTACTACACTGGAAGGCTTTGGGATGGGAACACGTCTACGTAATCCCAGGTTTTCAGTAAAGGCTGTGCTTTGGGTTGTGGTGTTTTCCTGTTGGAGTTAGTCCTCCCTGCCTCTGTTTGTCTCGTCCCTTGGACCTGCTTATGTTTTTGTGGGAAGTTTGTCCTCGTGCGTTTCCGTGAGCTTTAGGTTCATGCGTCTTTGTCCTGCCCTGATTCCTGATGTGTCCCACCTGTGGTGAATTGCTGTGTCTTCGGTTCAGTTCTTGTGGTGTAGTCATCGTTCTACTGCCTTGGTGCTTATTACATCTGTATCAGGGACTCTGAGTGCTGAACACTGTTTCCCTGCCTCCTGACGGACTCTGGGTCAGCTGGTAAATCCAGCCCCTCCTTGATGATTGTGATCTTATTTTACGGATAAAAACTCAATTACCCATAATGCCTCTTACTCTGAGGTCCCTCACCGGCAACAAGAAAGTTTTAACCAGTTTTATCCCATTTACCTGCCTGAGCTTTTAGAACCAGTATCGGTAACAAAGTCCTTTCTAAGAGTCTTGGACTGTGTCGGCCCTGTTTGCTTTCTGTTTAACGGCTCCCTACCTACCTGTTGTGTCTCTGACTGATGTAAAACTAAACAAATATGTTGATGTCGAGGCCATCCAACACGTCTTGATTACTGAAACAGCCTTTTTAGCTGCTAGACCCAAAAACCTGCAGGCTGCAGAACCAGAACCAGGAAACATGATCACATCAGCCCTGTTTCAGATTGTTACACTGGCTCCCAGGATGTTGTAGGCTAGAAGATGTTCTATCTTTTAGTCCCAGACGCACCAGCAGGGACCTTGACAGTCTCCACTGAAAACTAAAGGGGAGAGTTATCAGTCAGGGCCCCGAGGCTCTGGAACAGCCCCGAGGGCCCCCGAGGCTCTGGAACTATGGCTATTTCTGATTTTAACTTGATTTTAATTTTCTTTTCTTTTCTCTGTTTTAATTCCTTAAAAAGTGCTCTATGAATAAACATTATTATCTTTACATGAGTACAAGTACATGTTGACATGAGTACAAGTACATATTGACATGAGTTTAAATGAAGTAAAGGCGAGGTACTGTAAAGGTACAGTAAAGCGTGACGAGGTACATCAAAGTGCAGCGAGGTACTGTAAAGTGCAGCGAGGTACATCAAAGTGCAGCGAGGTACTGTAAAGTGCAGCGAGGTACATCAAAGTGCAACGAGTTACTGTAAAGTGCAGCGAGGTACATCAAAGTGCAGCGAGGTACATCAAAGTGCAGCGAGGTACATCAAAATTGATTTTAATTTTCTTTTCTTTTCTCTGTTTTAATTCCTTAAAAAGTGCTCTATGAATAAATATTATTATCTTTACATGAGTACAAGTACATGTTGACATGAGTTTAAATGAAGTAAAGGCGAGGTACTGTAAAGGTACAGTAAAGCGTGATGAGGTACATCAAAGTGCAGCGAGGTACTGTAAAGTGCAGCGAGGTACATCAAAGTGCAACGAGTTACTGTAAAGTGCAGCGAGGTACATCAAAGTGCAGCGAGGTACATCAAAGTGCAGCGAGGTACATCAAAGTGCAGCGAGGTACATCAAAGTGCAACGACTTACTGTAAAGTGCAGCGAGGTACATCGAAGTGCAGCGAGGTACATCAAAGTGCAGCGAGGTACATCAAAGTGCAGCGAGGTACATCAAAATTGATTTTAATTTTCTTTTCTTTTCTCTGTTTTAATTCCTTAAAAAGTGCTCTATGAATAAATATTATTATCTTTACATGAGTACAAGTACATGTTGACATGAGTTTAAATGAAGTAAAGGCGAGGTACTGTAAAGTTACAGTAAAGCGTGATGAGGTACATCAAAGTGCAGCGAGTTACTGTAAAGTGCAGCGAGGTACTGTAAAGTGCAGCGAGGTACATCAAAGTGCAGCGAGGTACATCAAAGTGCAGCGAGGTACTGTAAAGTGCAGCGAGGTACTGTAAAGTGCAGCGAGGTACATCAAAGTGCAGCGAGGTACTGTAAAGTGCAGCGAGGTACTGTAAAGTGCAGCGAGGTACATCAAAGTGCAGCGAGGTACTGTAAAGTGCAGCGAGGTACTGTAAAGTGCAGCGAGGTACTGTAAAGTGCAGCGAGGTACATCAAAGTGCAGCGAGGTACATCAAAGTGCAGCGAGGTACTGTAAAGTGCAGCGAGGTACTGTAAAGTGCAGCGAGGTACATCAAAGTGCAGCGAGGTACATCAAAGTGCAGCGAGGTACATCAAAATTGATTTTAATTTTCTTTTCTTTTCTCTGTTTTAATTCCTTAAAAAGTGCTCTATGAATAAATATTATTATCTTTACATGAGTACAAGTACATGTTGACATGAGTTTAAATGAAGTAAAGGCGAGGTACTGTAAAGGTACTGTAAAGTGTGATGAGGTACATCAAAGTGCAGCGAGTTACTGTAAAGTGCAGCGAGGTACTGTAAAGTGCAGCGAGGTACTGTAAATTGCAGCGAGGTACTGTAAAGTGCAGCGAGGTACATCAAAGTGCAGCGAGGTACATCAAAGTGCAGCGAGGTACTGTAAAGTGCAGTGAGGTACTGTAAATTGCAGCGAGGTACTGTAAAGTGCAGCGAGGTACATCAAAGTGCAGCGAGGTACAGCGAGGTACATCAAAGTGCAGCGAGGTACATCAAAGTGCAGCGAGGTACTGTAAAGTGCAGCGAGGTACATCAAAGTGCAGCGAGGTACTGTAAAGTGCAGCGAGGTGCATCAAAGTGCAGCGAGGTACATCAAAGTGCAGCGAGGTACTGTAAAGTGCAGCGAGGTACATCAAAGTGCAGCGAGGTACTGTAAAGTGCAGCGAGGTACTGTAAAGTGCAGCGAGGTACATCAAAGTGCAGCGAGGTACATCAAAGTGCAGCGAGGTACTGTAAAGTGCAGCGAGGTACATCAAAGTGCAGCGAGGTACATCAAAATTGATTTTAATTTTCTTTTCTTTTCTCTGTTTTAATTCCTTAAAAAGTGCTCTATGAATAAATATTATTATCTTTACATGAGTACAAGTACATGTTGACATGAGTTTAAATGAAGTAAAGGCGAGGTACTGTAAAGGTACAGTAAAGCGTGATGAGGTACATCAAAGTGCAGCGAGTTACTGTAAAGTGCAGCGAGGTACTGTAAAGTGCAGCGAGGTACTGTAAATTGCAGCGAGGTACTGTAAAGTGCAGCGAGGTACATCAAAGTGCAGCGAGGTACTGTAAAGTGCAGCGAGGTACTGTAAAGTGCAGCGAGGTACTGTAAATTGCAGCGAGGTACTGTAAAGTGCAGCGAGGTACATCAAAGTGCAGCGAGGTACTGTAAAGTGCAGCGAGGTACTGTAAAGTGCAGCGAGGTACTGTAAAGTGCAGCGAGGTACATCAAAGTGCAGCGAGGTACTGTAAAGTGCAGCGAGGTACTGTAAAGTGCAGCGAAGTACATCAAAGTGCAGCGAGGTACATCAAAGTGCAGCGAGGTATATCAAAGTGCAGCGAGGTACATCAAAGTGCAGCGAGGTACATCAAAGTGCAGCGAGTTACTGTAAAGTGCAGCGAGGTACATCAAAGTGCAGCGAGGTACATCAAAGTGCAGCGAGGTACTGTAAAGTGCAGCGAGGTACTGTAAAGTGCAGCGAAGTACATCAAAGTGCAGCGAGGTACATCAAAGTGCAGCGAGGTATATCAAAGTGCAGCGAGGTACTGTAAAGTGCAGCGAGGTACATCAAAGTGCAGCGAGGTACTGTAAAGTGCAGCGAGGTACATCAAAGTGCAGCGAGGTACATCAAAGTGCAGCGAGGTACATCAAAGTGCAACGAGTTACTGTAAAGTGCAGCGAGGTACATCAAAGTGCAGCGAGGTACATCAAAGTGCAGCGAGTTACTGTAAAGTGCAGCGAGGTACATCAAAGTGCAGCGAGGTACATCAAAGTGCAGCGAGGTACATCAAAATTGATTTTAATTTTCTTTTCTTTTCTCTGTTTTAATTCCTTAAAAAGTGCTCTATGAATAAATATTATTATCTTTACATGAGTACAAGTACATGTTGACATGAGTTTAAATGAAGTAAAGGCGAGGTACTGTAAAGTGCAGCGAGGTACTGTAAAGTGCAGCGAGGTACTGTAAAGTGCAGCGAGGTACATCAAAGTGCAGCGAGGTACTGTAAAGTGCAGCGAGGTACTGTAAAGTGCAGCGAGGTACATCAAAGTGCAGCGAGGTACTGTAAAGTGCAGCGAGGTACTGTAAAGTGCAGCGAGGTACATCAAAGTGCAGTGAGGTACTGTAAAGTGCAGCGAGGTACATCAAAGTGCAGCGAGGTACATCAAAGTGCAGCGAGGTACATCAAAGTGCAGCGAGGTACATCAAAGTGCAGCGAGGTACATCAAAGTGCAGCGAGGTACATCAAAGTGCAGCGAGGTACTGTAAAGTGCAGCGAGGTACATCAAAGTGCAGCGAGGTACTGTAAAGTGCAGCGAGGTACTGTAAAGTGCAGCGAGGTACATCAAAGTGCAGCGAGGTACTGTAAAGTGCAGCGAGGTACTGTAAAGTGCAGCGAGGTACATCAAAGTGCAGTGAGGTACTGTAAAGTGCAGCGAGGTACATCAAAGTGCAGCGAGGTACATCAAAGTGCAGCGAGGTACATCAAAGTGCAGCGAGGTACATCAAAGTGCAGCGAGGTACATCAAAGTGCAGCGAGGTACATCAAAGTGCAGCGAGGTACATCAAAGTGCTGCAAAGTACTGCCAATTTCTCATTAACCTTTGATTTCCCAGGTAATACGTGTCGCTGTGTGATGGTGGTCTGTGTCTCCAGTTTCCTCTTCCTGTTATTGCAGTCCTTCTACCAGCTGACTACTGCAACACTGCAACCAGAGTACAACTGTAAGACACAACCGTCTGTCTGCTCACCTGTCGGTTTACCTGTCTTTCTACCTGTCTCTCTACCTGTCTGTCTGCTCACCTGTCGGTTTACCTGTCTTTCTACCTTTCTGTCTGCTCACCTGTCGGTTTACCTGTCTTTCTACCTGTCTCTCTACCTGTCTGTCTGCTCACCTGTCGGTTTACCTGTCTTTCTACCTTTCTGTCTGCTCACCTGTCGGTTTACCTGTCTTTCTACCTGTCTCTCTACCTGTCTGTCTGCTCACCTGTCTGTCTCCACTGATGTATTACCTGCTTGTCTCTCTCTGTCTGCAGGTACGTCGTGGCAGAAAGCTCTGGGTCAGCTCGGCCTGGTGAGGTAAGAACCTGCTTCCTGTCAGACGGGTATGAGGGTGAACAGGCTCATATGACGTCACAGCTGCAATAGTAACAATAGTTACTAAATCAGTAACTGATCTCACTAATGTCAAAGCGATGACACACCGAACAAGTGTGCTTTTTTTCTGATCAGTAGATTACAGTGTCAAGATCTGGTTTCCTCCTCAACACACACACACACACACACACACACAGACAGCTGTTTCTGTTCCCGTAAAAACTTTACTGACTCACATCAGAGACAGTTGTGTGCTTTACTGACTGTGGATGTTGCCGACTCAGCTCCTGTTAAAAGTCAAACATCAGTTTAAATGAAGCACGTGTCTGCTGATGACTCGCAGTGACGTCGCTTGAGGCAGCGTCTGCTGATGACTCGCAGTGACGTCGCTTGAGGCAGCGTTCTTACTCTCTGTAACGTGGCTCCATCGTTTGTGATCATCAGATTTTGTTTTTATGGAGTTGTTTGGATCCAGAGTCTCAACTCAGACAGATTTAAAACACAAACAGTGGTGGTGTGTGTATCTGTGTGTGTGTATATATACACACACACAGATACACACACGCACACAGTTGTTTACTTGTGGAAACCAGTCAGACAAAACTACGAAAATAAGAGCCATGTTTCTGTAGCAGTCTGTCCTTCAGAGGACGATGACGCAGCTGATCCTCCAACAGAGTCTGTGTGTGTTACAGTGTGTGTGTTACAGTGTGTGTGTGTGTGTGTTTGTGTATCTGTGTGCGTGTGTGTGTTACAGTGTGTATCTGTGTGTGTGTTACAGTGTGTGTGTGTGTGTGTGTGTATCTGTGTGCGTGTGTGTGTTACAGTGTGTATCTGTGTGTGTGTTACAGTGTGTGTGTGTGTTTGTGTATCTGTGTGCGTGTGTGTGTTACAGTGTGTATCTGTGTGTGTTACAGTGTGTGTGTGTGTGTGTGTGTGTTTGTGTATCTGTGTGCGTGTGTGTGTTACAGTGTGTATCTGTGTGTGTTACAGTATGTGTGTGTGTGTGTTTGTGTATCTGTGTGCGTGTGTGTGTTACAGTGTGTGTGTTTGTGTATCTGTGTGCGTGTGTGTGTTACAGTGTGTATCTGTGTGTGTTTGTGTGTGTGTGTGTGTGTGTTTGTGTATCTGTGTGCGTGTGTGTGTTACAGTGTGTATCTGTGTGTGTGTTACAGTGTGTGTGTGTGTGTTTGTGTATCTGTGTGCGTGTGTGTGTTACAGTGTGTATCTGTGTGTGTGTTACAGTGTGTGTGTGTGTGTGTTTGTGTATCTGTGTGCGTGTGTGTGTTACAGTGTGTATCTGTGTGTGTGTTACAGTGTGTGTTTGTGTATCTGTGTGCGTGTTACAGTGTGTGTGTTTGTGTATCTGTGTGCGTGTTACAGTGTGTGTGTTACAGCGTGTATCTGTGTGCGTGTGTGTTACAGCGTGTATCTGTGTGCGTGTGTGTTACAGCGCGTATCTGTGTGCGTGCGTGTTACAGTGTGTGTGTTACAGTGCGTATCTGTGTGCGTGTTACAGTGTGTGTGTTACAGTGCGTATCTGTGTGCGTGTGTGTTACAGTGTGTGTGTTACAGTGCGTATCTGTGTGCGTGTGTGTTACAGTGTGTGTGTTACAGTGCGTATCTGTGTGCGTGTGTGTTACAGTGTGTGTGTTTGTGTATCTGTGTGTGTGTTACAGTGTGTGTGTTTGTGTATCTGTGTGCGTGTTACAGTGTGTGTGTTACAGTGCGTATCTGTGTGCGTGTGTGTTACAGTGCGTATCTGTGTGTGTGTGTTACAGTGTGTATCTGTGTGCGTGTGTCTAACAGTGTGTATCTGTGTGCGTGTGTGTTACAGTGCGTATCTGTGTGTGTGTGTGTTACAGTGCGTATCTGTGTGCGTGTGTGTTACAGTGTGTATCTGTGTGCGTGTGTGTTACAGTGCGTATCTGTGTGCGTGTTACAGTGTGTGTGTTTGTGTATCTGTGTGCGTGTGTGTTACAGTGCGTATCTGTGTGCGTGTGTGTTACAGTGCGTATCTGTGTGCGTGTGTGTTACAGTGCGTATCTGTGTGCGTGTTACAGTGTGTGTGTTACAGTGCGTATATGTGTGCGTGTATGTTACAGTGCGTATATGTGTGCGTGTGTGTTACAGTGCGTATCTGTGTGCGTGTGTGTTACAGTGTGTATCTGTGTGTGCGTTACAGTGTGTGTGTTACAGTGCGTATATGTGTGCGTGTGTGTTACAGTGCGTATCTGTGTGCGTGTGTGTTACAGTGTGTATCTGTGTGCGTGTGTGTTACAGTGCGTATCTGTGTGCGTGTTACAGTGTGTGTGTTTGTGTATCTGTGTGCGTGTGTGTTACAGTGCGTATCTGTGTGCGTGTGTGTTACAGTGCGTATCTGTGTGCGTGTGTGTTACAGTGTGTCTGTGTGCGTGTTACACTGTGTGTGTTTATGTATCTATGTGCGTGTGTGTTACAGTGCGTATCTGTGTGCGTGTGTGTTACAGTGCGTATCTGTGTGCGTGTGTTACAGTGTGTATCTATGTGCGTGTGTGTTACAGTGCGTATCTGTGTGCGTGTGTTACAGTGTGTATCTGTGTGCGTGTGTGTTACAGTGCGTATCTGTGTGCGTGTGTGTTACAGTGCGTATCTGTGTGCGTGTGTGTTACAGTGCGTATCTGTGTGCGTGTTACAGTGTGTGTGTTTGTGTATCTGTGTGCGTGTGTGTTACAGTGTGTATCTGTGTGCGTGTGTTACAGCGTGTATCTGTGTGCGTGTGTGTTACAGCGTGTATCTGTGTGCGTGTGTGTTACAGCGTATATCTGTGTGCGTGTTACAGTGTGTGTGTTTGTGTATCTGTGTGCGTGTGTTACAGTGCGTATCTGTGTGCGTGTGCGTTACAGTGTGTATCTGTGTGCGTGTGTGCGTGTGTGTTACAGTGTGTATCTGTGTATCTGTGTGCGTGTGTGCGTGTGTGTTACAGTGTGTATCTGTGTATCTGTGTGCGTGTGTGCGTGTGTGTTACAGTGTGTATCTGTGTGCGTGTGTGTTACAGCGTGTATCTGTGTGCGTGTTACAGTGTGTGTGTTTGTGTATCTGTGTGCGTGTGTTACAGTGTGTATCTGTGTGCGTGTGTGCGTGTGTGTTACAGTGTGTATCTGTGTATCTGTGTGCGTGTGCGTTACAGTGTGTATCTGTGTGCGTGTGTGTTACAGTGTGTATCTGTGTGCGTGTGTTACAGTGTGTATCTGTGTGCGTGTGTGTTACAGTGTGTATCTGTGTGCGTGTGTGCGTGTGTGTTACAGTGTGTATCTGTGTATCTGTGTGCGTGTGCGTTACAGTGTGTATCTGTGTGCGTGTGTGTTACAGTGTGTATCTGTGTGCGTGTGCGTTACAGTGTGTATTTGTGTGCGTGTGTTACAGTGTGTATCTGTGTGCGTGTGTGTTACAGTGTGTATCTGTGTGCGTGTGTGCGTGTGTGTTACAGTGTGTATCTGTGTATCTGTGTGCGTGTGCGTTACAGTGTGTATCTGTGTGCGTGTGTGTTACAGTGTGTATCTGTGTATCTGTGTGCGTGTGCGTTACAGTGTGTATCTGTGTGCGTGTGTGTTACAGTGTGTATCTGTGTGCGTGTGTTACAGTGTGTATCTGTGTGCGTGTGTGTTACAGTGTGTATCTGTGTGCGTGTGTTACAGTGTGTATCTGTGTGCGTGTGTGTTACAGTGTGTATCTGTGTGCGTGTGTGTTACAGTGTGTATCTGTGTGCGTGTGTGCGTGTGTGTTACAGTGTGTATCTGTGTGCGTGTGTGCGTGTGTGTTACAGTGTGTATCTGTGTGCGTGTGTTACAGTGTGTATCTGTGTGCGTGTGTGCGTGTGTGTTACAGTGTGTATCTGTGTGCGTGTGTGTTACAGTGTGTATCTGTGTGCGTGTGTGCGTGTGTGTTACAGTGTGTATCTGTGTGCGTGTGTGCGTGTGTGTTACAGTGTGTATCTGTGTGCGTGTGTTACAGTGTGTATCTGTGTGCGTGTGTTACAGTGTGTATCTGTGTGCGTGTGTGTTACAGTGTGTATCTGTGTGCGTGTGTGCGTGTGTGTTACAGTGTGTATCTGTGTGCGTGTGTGCGTGTGTGTTACAGTGTGTATCTGTGTGCGTGTGCAGCAGGAGCTCAGACAGTAGTCTCTCTGTCTGGACTACACGGCTCTGCACGCAGCAGTAAACACTCAGAAACACACTCTGCAGGACTCGTCCTGAATCTGTACGAACAGAAATGGTTCACTTTGAACGTGAAGCTGTGTGTGAGCAAGGACAGAGTTTTGTTTCTTTGTTCAGAACATCAGAAATCAAAGAAAATGTGACTTTACAGAGAAGTTGTCAGAGAAAGAGCTTCTAGCTTCAGCTTTTATGATGTGACACTGAATCCCTTTATATCTGTTATTTGACTTATTTACTTCTTGTTTTATTCTAATTATTTCATATTTATTCTGTCATTTTTGGCATTGTTTCTATATTTTGAATATTAAATGTGTCTGCTGCCGAGAAGAAACGTTTCCTAATAAAATGCGTCTGCGTCAGTCTGACAGGAAGTGATGCTGGCTCAGCCGTGAGACAGGTGTTTCCAGATGTTGGCGTGCTGGTCGTTGGTCTGCTGACCTGGAGGCTGATCGTAAGACTGAACGCCGACACACACACGCAGGTAGCACACACGCACAAACGCACGCTAATGAAGCAGGTTTAACCTCGTTATGTCGTCTCCTCTCGTTTCTTAACAAGGTTTCCTGTCTATTAGTGTGTAACTCAGTAAGCTATTTATTAACTGTAACCTCGTTAAGTGATTGCATCAGGACACACACACACACACACACACACACACACGGGGTATAATGATCAGGTTTCGTTTCAATCAGCATATTAGTAGCCCTGTCAGAGTCTGTTAAGGCGAAACCAGACCAGCAGACAGCAGCACTGACAGACTGACGGCACACCGGTCCTCCAGGTCACTCCAGGAGGACAAAGAGAAACTCTGCCTCTGTCTTCATCTCTGTGAAAGTGGAGCTTGCTGTCGTCACATTAAAGTACTCACAGCTTCAGTCAGACTCCACAGAACATTTACAGAAAGTGCACAGTGGTGAGTTAAACATGGTTCACTGTGACCTGAAAGCGGCAGGCTCACATTTCTCTCCGCATATCGTTCATTGTCGCGTTGAATCAGGAAAGTCTTATTCAGACTCGAGGCCGACATGTTGGATTACTGTCAAACCAGCTGCAGGTGTGACGGAGTAATGAACCCTTGTTGTTTTCAGCCTCAGGAGGAGGGACAGGAGGAGGAGGGGCAGCTGCAGGAGGACCTGATGTTTGAGGAGGACTCTGTGCTTGGAGAGGAGGAAGAGGAGGAGGAAGGAGGCAGAAAGAGGCTTCTGGTTGAACTGGAGTCACTGGTTTGTAAAACCAGACAGATTGTAGGAAACATGACGACCGCTGGAGGGAAAGTCCTGCTGACGGCTCTACTGGGACTCACAGGTAAACAAGTGGACAGGTACCGGTATATATTCTGCACTGCTTTACTGGCTCTGGGACACTGTGGCAGCAGGCTACATGTTCCCAGACCAGATCCGATATATAACCCCCCAGCTTGTTCTGGTCTGACCCTGAGGTCTCCTCCAAGTTAGACATGTCTCCTCCGCAGGGAGGAGTCTGGCAGGTGTCCGGATCAGATGCTGAACTCCCTCAGCTGACTTCTTTCCACGTGATGGACAGTGGTTCTCCTCTGAGGTCTCTCGTGTTCAGACGGACTTCAGCTCGGTCATTTCACTGAGTCCAGTCTGGGGAGACGCCGGACGTCCCAGCACAGAAGGTTTTAGCTACATAACACAGGCTCGCCCGGCTGAACTGGTCGCGCAGTGGGACGCCAGCTGCACTTTGCCCTCTGATGAACCTCCGCCAGGTCTATCTGAAAGTCCTCTGACTCCAGACCCACTCCCTAAACTAATTGCAAACGTCCCAGAGCTCACTGGGACTGGTCACAGTCTGATGAAACAACAGAACCACAGAGCCATTATCCTGAAGTCACCATGCCGACACTCTGCACACTGCAGATTCAGAAACCCCAAACTGGACCTGTGACAGGAACAACCCTGAAGAGGTTCAGAGTCTCCTTTCAGCAGCCTCTCAGGAGACTGAGCAGCGCTGAAGCACAAACAGACGTATGTGTTTGCTGCCATTTTCATATATTTTAATTGGTTTGGCCAATCCCCAAGGTGTTCTGGTCTTTGATTAGAGGATCGTTCAGAGCTCCTGTTGCACCAGGGACTAAGTGCAGCTGGGTGATTCCCTCTGGGCCGGTCAGGATGTGGTGATGCCCATCCTGGAAGGATCTACCTGCACACCGGGCTCTCTGTGAAGCTTTCTGAACCCTAACTGTGTGCAGAACTCACCCATAGACACTGTCTGCCTGAAGCTCTGTCCTTTGGGACCTGTTGAGACCCCTTTTGCTGTCTCTTTGGTCTGCGAGTAACAGAGTCCTCTGAACACTTTGGTTGACATAGAGCTGTAGCTCCTAAAGCGGCCCTGGTGTTTAAACAAATATACGTTAAGATACTTGTTTTCATTTACTATGTGGTTGGGAACTGGGCATCGGTCGGTGGAATCAGTACCGCTCACCCTTCAGTCCCCCATGAACCACCACCAGGTCTGCCGCTCACAGGTTCTGGTTCCTCACAATCACTGCGCAGGAGAGCAGTTAGGAGAACACATCAACACTTCTGGTTTTATTTTCGTTGGCTAACTTTTGTCTGATGAAGAGGGAGATTTTCTGTTGCTCACTTGGATCCAGAAGAGGAGGTTTTTTTGAGATCTGGACTCTTGTGGGAATCTGAACTGAGATCAGGACTCATCATTGGTGGCTGAACTGTGGGCTTTGTACTCTTCATATTATTTCTGTTAAACCCTTTCTAATGTGACAGGTACAGGAACAGCTGAAACACCTGGGCTCTCATTTATAAAACTGTGCGTAGAAACCTCAGTAAAAGTGTACGTGTGCCCAAAAGACAACAAATATTCAGACTTATAAAACCATTCGTACGCACATTTCTAAGCAATGTTCCCCTTATAAATCCCAATCAACTTGAAATGTGGCCCCTGTGAGGGAGCCCCATGTAGACGCTGAGTGAAGCTGGTTAATATTAACGCGTCCTGACTGCAGGAAGAAAAGGAGGCAGACTCTGAGTCTAACTCAGGGACGCTGACGTTACTTTTGGTGAAGGGGCCCCGGAGCTCCGCCCCTTTATAACCGATCTGCAGGAAGGGGCCTCCCTCTGAGTAGTGACGTCGCCCCGTTTGAAAAGAGACTTCCACAAACACTCCACTCGCTTAACGAAGCTGCTGACGAGTTAAAGAAATATGACTTGTTGGAAAAGACAATAAAATAGTTTTATTTCCAGGCAGCGCGTCTCACCCACACGCTGGCACTCGATCAGGCAACAAACGTGATAACAACACGTGAAACTCTCTATCTGCTCGACTGACGCACTGAAAAATCGATTTAAATATAATTTGTCTCCTGTTCACCTGATTTATGAATAAACTGCTGCATGCGAGTATTAATGAATCTGACTCTTTTGCAGAAACAGAATCTCCGTTTGTGTTTATGATCCTGAATCTGGATCTTTTTGTGGCTGCAATGTTTTTTTGCCACTTTGTTTCTTCAGAAAGGCTTTAAGCCTGGAATACTCAGAGGGCAGATCTGGATTTATGTTCCACCATCATTTCCAACAGTTTCCTCCTTCTGCCGTGTGAGGCGCCGTTTCTCTCCTCTTTCTGTGCGTCCGCGTGGTTCAGAGTTTACTGACTGTCAGCTCTGTTTGTTAGAGATCACAGCCTTCGCTCGGGAAGTGGCGTCCGCACGTTTCCAGCCCTGTTCTGTACGAACGCACAGTTTAGAAATGAGACCCCGGGTGGTTCGGGTGGAGAGGTTGGAGAGGTTGGAGAGGTTGTCCCTTTGTTTTTGTGTCAGAACATTACATGAGCTGAACGTTATTCTAAAGCTAACTTCTCTGTCTCTGCTCCTCCAGGTATCATCTTCCCCTCTCTCTCCTCCCTGCCCTACCTCCTCTGTTTCCAGGTGTTGTGTACCTGGTGGGCGTGGTCAGGCCAGGTCCCACCTCTCCTCTTCAGGGGGGTGTGTGTGATGTCACTCCTCTACTCCTCCTCCCACTTCTTGCTCCTCTACTGCTACCAGCTTCCCTCAATGCAGGAGGCGTGGCCTCCCAACCGCACCTCCGCCAGGTAACACACATTTACCCTCCATACAGGTAACACCACAGGGACAGGAAAGGGGGGAGAGGAGGAAAGGAAAGAAGGAAGGGGAGAAGGAAAGGAGGAGAGAGTGAAGGAAAGGAGGTGAGGGAGGAGGAAAGGAGGAGAGAGAGAAGGAAAGGAGGCAGGAGAGAAGGAAAGGAGGCAGGAGCGAAGGAAAGGAGAAGAGAGAGAAGGAAAGGAGGCAGGAGCGAAGGAAAGGAGGCAGGAGAGAAGGAAAGGAGGAGAGAGAGAAGGAAAGGAGGCAGGAGAGAAGGAAGGGAGGCAGTAGAGAAGGAAAGGAGGCAGGAGAGAAGGAAAGGAGGAGAGAGAAGGAAAGGAGGAGAGAGAGAAGGAAAGGAGGCAGGAGAGAAGGAAAGGAGAAGAGAGAGAAGGAAGGAGGCAGGAGCGAAGGAAAGGAGGCAGGAGAGAAGGAAAGGAGGCAGGAGAGAAGGAAGAGGAGAGAGAGAAGGAAGGAGGCAGAGAGAAGGAAGGGAGGCAGGAGAGAAGGAAGGAGGCAGTAGAGAAGGAAAGGAGGAGAGAGAGAAGGAAAGGAGGCAGGAGGAGGAAAGGAGGAGAGAGAGAGAAGGAAAGGAGGCAGGAGAGAAGGAAAGGAGAAGAGAGAGAAGGAAAGGAGGCAGGAGAGAAGGAAAGGAGGTGAGGGAGGAGGAAAGGAGGAGAGAGAGAAGGAAAGGAGGCAGGAGAGAAGGAAAGGAGGCAGGAGCGAAGGAAAGGAGAAGAGAGAGAAGGAAAGGAGGCAGGAGCGAAGGAAAGGAGGCAGGAGAGAAGGAAAGGAGGAGAGAGAGAAGGAAAGGAGGCAGGAGAGAAGGAAGGGAGGCAGTAGAGAAGGAAAGGAGGAGAGAGAGAAGGAAAGGAGGCAGGAGAGAAGGAAAGGAGGAGAGAGAGAAGGAAAGGAGGCAGGAGAGAAGGAAAGAGAAGAGAGAGAAGGAAAGGAGGCAGGAGCGAAGGAAAGGAGGCAGGAGAGAAGGAAAGGAGGAGAGAGAGAAGGAAAGGAGGCAGGAGAGAAGGAAGGGAGGCAGTAGAGAAGGAAAGGAGGAGAGAGAGAAGGAAAGGAGGCAGGAGAGAAGGAAAGGAGGAGAGAGAGAAGGAAAGGAGGCAGGAGAGAAGGAAAGGAGGCAGGAGCGAAGGAAAGGAGAAGAGAGAGAAGGAAAGGAGGCAGGAGAGAAGGAAAGGAGGAGAGAGAGAAGGAAAGGAGGAGAGAGAGAAGGAAAGGAGGCAGGAGAGAAGGAAAGGAGGAGAGAGAGAAGGAAAGGAGGCAGGAGCGAAGGAAAGGAGGAGGGAGCGAAGGAAAGGAGGCAGGAGAGAAGGAAAGGAGGAGGGAGCGAAGGAAAGGAGGCGGGGAGAAGATTTCATGGTTCCTGGTTGACTTATTGATTGATGTCCTTGATCCTGCAGCGTGTTCGGCCTGGTCTCGGTGGGGTCTGTGGACTGTGGCGCCCCCTGGAGGCTGCAGGTGAACTCTGAGCTCAGCTGGTTTCACTTCAGCAGTCCTCTGATGCTGCTGCTGCTCTACAACACGGTGGCCAGTCTGTGGAGGAACCAGGTGACGACATCATGATGACATCACACAATGACATCATACCGCGGCTGTGTCTCAAGATAGATGGATAGAACTTCATTGATCCCCGATGGGAAATTGCGATGTTGCGGCAGCAAAATTGACAGACCAGACATATTTACACAAACTATTGTATAATGTACAAAGTTTCCTTTTCAAAATGTGTTTACAACAGTGCGGCTGTCCTTTATTTTCACGGGTCCTTCAGTCTCGTCTCCGGGCCCAGAGGGGAGTTGTTGTGATGGTAGTGGGTAGGAAGGACTTCCTGTAACGGTGCTTGTAGGAGTCTCCAGCTGAATGCGCTCTGCTGCCCGACCGGCAGGTTGTGCAGCGGGTGTGAAGTGTTGTGGAAGATTCTTCTCTCCACAACCAAGTCCAGGGGCCCCGGAGCAGAGCCCAGCAGAGAACCAGCCGCCTTATTAGCTTGTTCAGTCTCTTGCTTGTCACTGGCTCCGATGCTGCTACCCCAGCAGGTGGCTGCAAAGAAAACTGCGCTTTCGACAACCGACTGATACTGAGACATATACAACATCCTGCTGCATACATTAAAGGACCTGAGCTTCCTCAAAGAGAGTCTGCTCTGGCCCAAGTCAGGGGGCGAAACTATGGGCTACTTTTGCAAAAGTCTACACACTAACCACAAAACCTTACACCACAAAAGAAAACATCACCCATCTCCAGCAAAACTGTTCTAAAACTTGTTTTTTCCAAGAATAAAGTTCACACAAACATCTCTGAATAAAACCCTGTGTAGGCCAGAGCAGTGCAATGAGGTTTTTTCATGGATTTCAGTAAAACTCAAACACACATGTGGAAGTATGGATGTGTATTTACACAATCTGAGCTTATGCTGAAAGGGACGACGGCTTCATCAGGTACAGAGAGGCTCACTGATGATGTTGTGGAACATTGTGTTCCTGTTCTGGTCCTCTACTTCTGGCCCTGTAGTTTTGGTCCTGTAATTCTGGTCCTGTATTATTGTTGTTTTGGTCCTGTAGTTCTGGTCCTGTATTCCTGTAGTTCTGGTCCTGTATTCCTGTACTTCTGGTCATGTAGTTCTGGTCCTTCATTCCTTTAGTTCTGGTCATGTAGTTCAGGTCCTGTATTCCTGTAGTTTTAGTCCTGTAGTTCTAGTCCTGTATTCCTGTAGTTCAGGTCCTGTATTCCTGTACTTCTGGTCCTGTATTCCTGTACTTCTGGTCCTGTATTTCTGGTCCTTCATTCCTTTAGTTCTGGTCATGTAGTTCAGGTCCTGTATTCCTGTAGTTTTAGTCCTGTAGTTCTAGTCCTTTATTCCTGTAGTTCTGGTTCTGTAGTTCTGGCACTTTAGTTCTGTAGTTTTGGTCCTATAGTTCTGTTCCTATACATATGGCCCTGTAGTTCTGTAGTTCTGGTCATGTAGTTCTGGCCCTGTAGTTTTGGTCCTGTAGTTGTGGTCCTGTATTCCTGTTGTTGTGGTCCTGTATTCCTGTAGTTCTGGTTCTGTAGTTCTGGCACTTTAGTTCTGTAGTTTTGGTCCTATAGTTCTGTTCCTATACTTATGGCCCTGCAGTTCTGTAGTTCTGGTCATGTAGTTCTGGCCCTGTAGTTTTGGTCCCGTAGTTGTGGTCCTGTATTCCTGTAGTTGTGGTCCTGTATTCCTGTAGTTCTGGTTCTGTAGTTCTGGTCCTTTATTCCTGTAGTTCTGGTCATGTAGTTCTGGTTCTGTAGTTCTGGCACTTTAGTTCTGTAGTTTTGGTCCTATAGTTCTGTTCCTGTACTTATGGCCCTCGAGTCCTGTAGTTATGGTCCTATAGTTCTGTTCCTGTACTTATGGCCCTCTAGTTCTGTAGTTTTGGTCCTATAGTTCTGTTCCTGTACTTATGGCCCTCTAGTTCTGTAGTTTTGGTCCTATAGTTCTGTTCCTGTACTTATGGCCCTCTAGTTCTGTAGTTTTGCTCCTATAGTTCTGTTCCTGTACTTATGGCCCTCTAGTTTTGTAGTTTTGCTCCTATAGTTCTGTTCCTGCACTTATGGCCCTCTAGTTCTGTAGTTTTGCTCCTATAGTTCTGTTCCTGTACTTATGGCCCTCTAGTTCTGTAGTTTTGCTCCTATAGTTCTGTTCCTGTACTTATGGCCCTCTAGTTCTGTAGTTTTGGTCCTGTAATTCTGGTCCTGTATTCCTGAAGTTTTGGTCCTGTATTCCTGTAGTTCTGGTCATGTAGTTCTGGTCCTGTATTCCTGTAGTTCTGGTCCGGGCCGCTCAGAGGACTACATGTATACGTGTTCTCTGTTAAGTACAACATGGATCTGCGCCATCGTTGAGTGCGGCAGCTGAGCTAGCAGCTAGCCTCAGTTAGCATCACTAACATAATCGAATCCGTTCTTGTAACGGAAGTGTTTGCTCTTAAGGCTCCTCGGTTTGTAGACATTTGTATCGTTACCTGTTCGTGGAGCTGAATCTCAGGACTTCGGTAGGTTAGGAGAAGACATTTTCTGGCGTCTCCAATTGAGACATCATGTCATTGAGACACATGATGTCATCTGGTGATGATGTCACAGCGTTACTTGCTGATGACACTGCATGATGTCATGAACAGAAAAGAAGGACACCGGAGGGTTTAGAAGGACACCGGAGGGTTTAGAAGGACATCGGGAGGGTTAGAAGGACGCAAGGAGGGTTAGAGGGACACAAAGAGGGTTAGAAGGACGCAAGGATGGTTAGAAGGACACCAGGAGGGTTGGAGGGACACAAGGAGGGCTAGAAGGATGCAAGGAGAGTTAGAAGGACGCAAGGAGGGTTAGAGGGACACAAAGAGGGTTAGAAGGACGCAAGGAGGGTTAGAGGGACGCAAGGAGGGTTAGAGGGACACAAAGAGGGTTAGAAAGACGCAAGGAGGGTTAGAGGGACGCAAAGAGGGTTAGAAGGACGCAAGGAGGGTTAGAAGGACGCAAGGAGGGTTAGAAGGACGCAAGGAGGGTTAGAGGGACGCAAAGAGGGTTAGAAGGACGCAAGGAGGGTTAGAAGGACATCAGGAGGGTTAGAAGGACGCAAGGAGGGTTAGAGGGACACAAAAAGAGTTAGAAGGACGCAAGGATGGTTAGAAGGACACCAGGAGGGTTGGAGGGACACAAGGAGGGCTAGAAGGACGCAAGGAGAGTTAGAAGGACGCAAGGAGGGTTAGAGGGACACAAAGAGGGTTAGAAGGACGCAAGGAGGGTTAGAAGGACACCAGGAGGGTAAGAGGGACACAAAGAGGGTTAGAAGGACGCAAGGATGGTTAGAAGGACACCAGGAGGGTTGGAGGGACACCAGGAGGGCTAGAAGGATGCAAGGAGGGTTAGAAGGACACAAGAAGGGTTGGAAGGACACCAGGAGGGTTAGATGGACACCAGGAGGGCTAGAAGGACACAGACCTATTATATTGTGTTTGCAATGATGTTTTCCAGATGAGGAGAGTTCCTCAGTTCCTATTGACTGACGAGTTTAACATGTTTCTTCAGCTGATAGACGGTGACGGGGGGCGGGGTGCAGAGACTCCAGAGTCAGAGGTCAGAAGGAGCTGTGACATCATCACTGCCACCAGCAACCTGAGTGATGAGGTCAGCAGTGACATCACAGCGGAGAGGCGGAGAGAGCTATGGAGGAGAGCTCATGATGGGCTCGAGGGCAGAGAGGTAGGGAAACATATTTCACTTGGCTCGTGTTTCAGTGAAGGACTCTGAGGCTGTGCTGTGGTCAGTAAACCTGTCTGTCTCTGTCTGTCAGGCGCAGGAGTCATTAGCCAATGACAGTCCCTCTGACTCTTTTGCTCCACCCACCCAGAGTACAGCCCTGGGATTGGATGTTTCCTCCGCGCTTCACTATCCTCTCAGCCAGTCAGGTGAGTCTGTGGTTTCAGTCAGAATGACCCAACGAGGCGACGCTCCTCCTGGTTTATCAGGATACTTTAGTATCCCAGCGTTCATTTCACACCAGCAGAGACCTGGGTTAGGGGTTAGGTAGAAACTGCTCAGCACGACACCGTCCACGAGGACCTCCTCATCCAGCAGTGCAGGAAGAAGACCGGCCCCAGGAAACCTGTTCACCGACTGCAACTCAGTTTTCTGCTGAACCACGGTTTTAATGGCTGATAATGTCACAGGTCAGTCAGGTACAGGTGTGTTGATGATGATGTCACAGTCAGGTACAGGTGTGTTGATGATGATGTCACAGTCAGGTACAGGTGTGTTGATGATGATGTCACAGTCAGGTACAGGTGTGTTGATGATGATGTCACAGTCAGGTACAGGTGTGTTGATGATGATGTCACAGTCAGGTACAGGTGTGTTGATGATGATGTCACAGTCAGGTACAGGTGTGTTGATGATGATGTCACAGTCAGGTACAGGTGTGTTGATGATGCCACAGTCAGGTACAGGTGTGTTGATGATGATGCCACAGTCAGGTACAGGGTGTTGATGATGATGTCACAGTCAGGTACAGTGTGTGTTGATGATGATGTCACAGTCAGGTACAGGTGTGTTGATGATGATGCCACAGTCAGGTACAGGTGTGTTGATGATGATGCCACAGTCAGGTACAGGTGTGTTGATGATGATGCCACAGTCAGGTACAGGTGTGTTGATGATGATGCCACAGTCAGGTACAGGTGTGTTGATGATGATGTCACAGTCAGGTACAGGTGGTTGATGATGTCACAGTCAGGTACAGGTGTTGTTGATGATGTCACAGTCAGGTACAGGTGTGTTGATGATGATGCCACAGTCAGGTACAGGTGTGTTGATGATGATGCCACAGTCAGGTACAGGTGTGTTGATGATGATGTCACAGTCAGGTACAGGTGTGTGATGATGATGCCACAGTCAGGTACAGGTGTGTTGATGATGATGCCACAGTCAGGTACAGGTGTGTTGATGATGTCACAGTCAGGTACAGGTGTGTTGATGATGATGCCACAGTCAGGTACAGGTGTGACTGTGAGTTGATGATGTCACAGTCAGGTACAGGTGTGTTGATGATGATGCCACAGTCAGGTACAGGTGTGTTGATGATGATGTCACAGTCAGGTACAGGTGTGACTGTGAGTTGATGATGTCACAGTCAGGTACAGGTGTGTTGATGATGATGCCACAGTCAGGTACAGGTGGGTTGATGATGTCACAGTCAGGTACAGGTGTGTTGATGATGATGTCACAGTCAGGTACAGGTGTGTTGATGATGATGTCACAGTCAGGTACAGGTGTGTTGATGATGTCACAGTCAGGTACAGGTGTGTTGATGATGATGTCACAGTCAGGTACAGGTGTGTTGATGATGATGTCACAGTCAGGTACAGGTGTGTTGATGATGATGTCACAGTCAGGTACAGGTGTGTTGATGATGATGCCACAGTCAGGTACAGGTGTGTTGATGATGATGCCACAGTCAGGTACAGGTGTGTTGATGATGATGTCACAGTCAGGTACAGGGGTTGATGATGTCACAGTCAGGTACAGGTGGGTTGATGATGATGCCACAGTCAGGTACAGGTGTGTGATGATGATGTCACAGTCAGGTACAGGTGTGTGATGATGATGTCACAGTCAGGTACAGGTGGTTGATGATGATGTCACAGTCAGGTACAGGTGTGTTGATGATGATGCCACAGTCAGGTACAGGTGTTGATGATGATGCCACAGTCAGGTACAGGTGTGTTGATGATGATGCCACAGTCAGGTACAGGTGTGTTGATGATGAGTCACAGTCAGGTACAGGTGGGTTGATGATGTCACAGTCAGGTACAGGTGTGTTGATGATGTCACAGTCAGGTACAGGTGTGTTGATGATGATGCCACAGTCAGGTACAGGTGTGTGATGATGATGCCACAGTCAGGTACAGGTGTGTTGAGATGATGTCACAGTCAGGTACAGGTGTGTGATGATGATGCCACAGTCAGGTACAGGTGTGTTGATGATGATGTCACAGTCAGGTACAGGTGTGTTGATGATGATGCCACAGTCAGGTACAGGTGTTGATGATGATGCCACAGTCAGGTACAGGTGTGTTGATGATGTCACAGTCAGGTACAGGTGTGTTGATGATGATGCCACAGTCAGGTACAGGTGTGACTGTGAGTGATGATGTCACAGTCAGGTACAGGTGTGTTGATGATGATGCCACAGCAGGTACAGGTGTGTTGATGATGATGTCACAGTCAGGTACAGGTGTGACTGTGAGTTGATGATGTCACAGTCAGGTACAGGTGTTGATGATGATGCCACAGTCAGGTACAGGGGGTTGATGATGTCACAGTCAGGTACAGGTGTGTGATGATGATGTCACAGTCAGGTACAGGTTTGTTGATGATGATGTCACAGTCAGGTACAGGTGTGTTGATGATGATGTCACAGTCAGGTACAGGTGTGTTGATGATGATGTCACAGTCAGGTACAGGTGGTTGATGATGATGCCACAGTCAGGTACAGGTGTGTTGATGATGATGTCACAGTCAGGTACAGGTGTGTTGATGATTGCCACAGTCAGGTACAGGTGTGTTGATGATGATGCCACAGTCAGGTACAGGTGTGTTGATGATGATGTCACAGTCAGGTACAGGTGGGTTGATGATGTCACAGTCAGGTACAGGTGGGTTGATGATGATGCCACAGTCAGGTACAGGTGTGTTGATGATGATGCCACAGTCAGGTACAGGTGGTTGATGATGATGTCACAGTCAGGTACAGGTGTGTTGATGATGATGTCACAGTCAGGTACAGGTGTGTTGATGATGATGTCACAGTCAGGTACAGGTGGTTGATGATGATGCCACAGTCAGGTACAGGTGGGTTGATGATGATGTCACAGTCAGGTACAGGTGTGTTGATGATGATGTCACAGTCAGGTACAGGTGTGTTGATGATGATGCCACAGTCAGGTACAGGTGTTGATGATGATGCCACAGTCAGGTACAGGTGTGTTGATGATGATGTCACAGTCAGGTACAGGTGTGTTGATGATGATGTCACAGTCAGGTACAGGTGTGACTGTGAGTGATGATGTCACAGTCAGGTACAGGGTGTGATGATGATGTCACAGTCAGGTACAGGTTTGTTGATGATGATGTCACAGTCAGGTACAGGTGTGTGATGATGATGTCACAGTCAGGTACAGGGTGTTGATGATGATGTCACAGTCAGGTACAGGTGTGTTGATGATGATGCCACAGTCAGGTACAGGTGTGTTGATGATGATGTCACAGTCAGGTACAGGTGTGTTGATGATGATGCCACAGTCAGGTACAGGTGTGTTGATGATGATGCCACAGTCAGGTACAGGTGTGTTGATGATGATGTCACAGTCAGGTACAGGTGGGTTGATGATGTCACAGTCAGGTACAGGGGGTTGATGATGATGCCACAGTCAGGTACAGGTGTGTTGATGATGATGCCACAGTCAGGTACAGGTGTGTTGATGATGATGTCACAGTCAGGTACAGGTGTGTGATGATGATGTCACAGTCAGGTACAGGTGTGTGATGATGATGTCACAGTCAGGTACAGGTGGGTTGATGATGATGCCACAGTCAGGTACAGGTGGGTTGATGATGATGTCACAGTCAGGTACAGGGTGTTGATGATGATGTCACAGTCAGGTACAGGTGTGTTGATGATGATGCCACAGTCAGGTACAGGGTGTTGATGATGATGCCACAGTCAGGTACAGGTGTGTTGATGATGATGTCACAGTCAGGTACGGTGTGTTGATGATGATGTCACAGTCAGGTACAGGTGTGTTGATGGATGCCACAGTCAGGTACAGGTGGTTGATGATGATGCCACAGTCAGGTACAGGTATGACTGTGAGTTGATGATGCCACAGTCAGGTACAGGTGTGACTGTGAGTTGATGATGCCACAGTCAGGTACAGGTGTGTTGATGATGATGCCACAGTCAGGTACAGGTGTGGTGATGATTATGCCACAGTCAGGTACAGGTGTGTTGATGATGATGCCACAGTCAGGTACAGGTGTGTTGATGATGATCACAGTCAGGTACAGGTGGGTGATGATGATGTCACAGTCAGGTACAGGTGTGTTGATGATGATGCCACAGTCAGGTACAGGTGTGTTGATGATGATGCCACAGTCAGGTACAGGTGTGTTGATGATGATGTCACAGTCAGGTACAGGTGTGTTGATGATGATGTCACAGTCAGGTACAGGTGGGTTGATGATGATGTCACAGTCAGGTACAGGGTGTTGATGATGATGCCACAGTCAGGTACAGGGTGTTGATGATGATGCCACAGTCAGGTACAGGTGTGTTGATGATGATGCCACAGTCAGGTACAGGTGTGTTGATGATGATGTCACAGTCAGGTACAGGTGTGTTGATGATGATGTCACAGTCAGGTACAGGTGTGTTGATGATGATGCCACAGTCAGGTACAGGTGGTGATGATGATGTCACAGTCAGGTACAGTGTGTGTTGATGATGATGTCACAGTCAGGTACAGGTGTGTTGATGATGATGCCACAGTCAGGTACAGGTGTGTTGATGATGATGCCACAGTCAGGTACAGGTGTTGATGAGATGCCACAGTCAGGTACAGGTGTGTGATGATGATGCCACAGTCAGGTACAGGTGTGTTGATGATGATGTCACAGTCAGGTACAGGGGGTTGATGATGATGCCACAGTCAGGTACAGGTGTGTTGATGATGATGTCACAGTCAGGTACAGGTGTGTTGATGATGATGTCACAGTCAGGTACAGGGTGTTGATGATGATGCCACAGTCAGGTACAGGTGTGTTGATGATGATGCCACAGTCAGGTACAGGTGTGTTGATGATGATGTCACAGTCAGGTACAGGTGTGGTTGATGATGATGTCACAGTCAGGTACAGGTGGGTGATGATGATGTCACAGTCAGGTACAGGTGTGTTGAAGCTGACCTCATGGCTGTCACTGCTGTGACCCTGGTTCTTCTGTTCTGTGTTGATGGTGCAGACACGCTGGAGACGGTGTTTTTGAAGGGACGGATGGGAGGAGGAGGATGAAGATGAGGTGAGGAGGAGCGAGGTGGGGTCGGCGCGGTCTCCAGGCTTTCGGCTTCCTCCTAAGCAGAGTTACATCTGTGCTCTGATGGCCATGATGGCCTGGTCCATCACGTACGTGTCCTGGCTGACATGCGTCCTGCTGCTGTGGTCATGTGTCCTGTGGATGATGAG